CAAGTGCAATGAGTCATTCACTTATTGCAATTCCGGACTAGGTTGGTTTGATCCTATCAAGGGTGTATAGGTAGTCTAGCATCCCAATAGACGCAATTGCAACCAAATTTGAATCATTGGCTACATCAACCAAATTCCCACAAATCAAATATCCATCTCGACTCAAATCAATTCCGAACTACATTGGTTTGATCCCTTCAAAAAGGTACGTAGGCAATCTTAGAGACTCAATCTAGATGCAACTGCCCAAATCTTAAATCCAAATAGAATCCTTGGTTTATTCTTAACCAAATTAGCCCCAAACACAATTCAAAATTGAACCCCTAGTTTATTCAGCTAAATTCACTGAATATAATTCAAATCAAATTTTCCACTACAAGTGGCTTGATTCTTGCAAGGGGTACGCAGGCACCCTGAGGTTTGACTTAAGGGGCAGTCGCAAAACCAAACACACACGTTCTTTTTATTTTTATTTTTTTATGATGGAATCAAAGAGTGTTCCCTTGAAGCAAAGAATTGTAATTAAGAGACACTGCGTCTTGAATGGGTTGAACCTAAAATAATAAAACACCATTATTTAATTAGTGGTGGTGAAATTATGTTGGAAGGTTCACATTTTTCTTCAACATATATAATATGAATTAATACTCATGATGACACGCTGCATAACATAACCGAAGACAATCGTTGCTAAATCCATTTTTTTTTTTTTTTTTTATAGTATATATACTTGGATTTATAAGATAAACAAACAATTCTACCTTAAAATGTCATCTAAATCCATAAAGTTGGAATACCTCCATTTAAATGGAATCTTAGATTTGTTTCCCTTTTCTTATTTTTTTTTTCGTTTGACAAATACTACTACAAAAAACAAGTACTTCCCTCTTTTTTGTGTGGTTTCGCTATTTTCTTTCTTCTTGAGCTTTTTTCATATTAATTAAGTTACATTTGGATGGAGGGATTTAGAAGAAGGAATTTGGTCCCTGCGGTTTACCACGTTTACCACTAAATTCCATGTTGTTTAAATTGAGTCACTTTTACCCTTATAGTTTTCGATTTCAAGCACTTCAAGGACAATCCTAATTTTCTGTCAAATTATTCTAACTTTTGTTATTTATTGAGGGGCATTTTGCAAAACACGAAACTGAATGAAGCTTTGTATGGTTCTGAATTAATGTACTGAGCCCATTTGTAGCCCTAAACAATTTGATTAATATGGTAAATGCAGAAGAGAATTCCTTTCGTTGAATTTCTTTCGTTTCCTTTTTGGTTTTATTCCTTTTATACCTAAGGTCACTAGAAAAAAAACCCCGCAAATATGGGAAATGTAGAGGAGCAAAAAACAAGTACATCCCTCTTTTTTTCGTGTTGTTTCACTCTTTTGAACTTTTTCCATATTAATTAAGTTGCACTTGGAGGAGGGGGAGATTTGGATTTGACAACTAGACTAAATTTTCTATAAAATGAATATGCTAAATTTCCATATTAATTAACTTTTTCCATATCAGATTGAATGCATTTGAAATAATTAGATACAGTATCATTAAAATGAATATGAAATGACTATATCCAAAGAATCATTTTAAATTCACTTGTTTTCTTATTTCTTTCTTATTGAACTCTTGATGTATATACATTGATTATTATACAATAAACAAACAATTTTACCTTATAATGTCATCTAAATCCATAGATTTGGAATACCGCCATTCAAATGGAATCTCTTTAAATTGTTTCCTTTTCCTTTTTCTTTTTTCTTCTGACAAATATTACTTCTCGTTTAAAATCCTGTGTGCATCAGTTTCCATCCCATCAAACAAGTTCTTCTCTAGAAACACATCTCTATTTTTCTCTTTTTCTGTCAAAAATCTCAAGCACAAGTTTTAGCACAAAGGGAGGAATCAATGGCCAGTTGGGTTGCAGTACTAAGTGTTGTTTGGGTGAGCATAGTGATTGCATGGGCGTGGAGAGTGCTGAATTGGATGTGGTTGAGGCCAAAGAAACTAGAAAGATGCTTAAGGGAGCAAGGCTTTACAGGCAATTCTTACAGGCTTTTGTTTGGAGACACCAAGGATAGCTCAATGATGCTGCGACAAGCACAATCCAAACCCATGAAACTCTCCACCTCCCATGATATAGCGCCACGAGTCATGCCATTTGTCCATCAAATTGTGAAAACTTACGGTATGCCAAATACTTTTACATTAATTCCTATCACCTTTCTACCCTATCCATGTATGTATATGTTGTATGGTGTGTAATCTTCTTTATAAGTTTAAACTGGGATAGTTTTTTTTGGGTTGAATACATTTCTGGTCACTGGGTTGTATACGAAAATTTAATTTGGAGGTGCAACTTTTAAACCAAAAAAATGCAGGTAGGAATTCTTTTGTTTGGATGGGCCCCATGCCAAAGTTGAACATCATGAACCCAGAAGATTTGAAAGAAATCTTTAACAAGCGTCAAAATTTTCAGAGGCCATCAGCAAACCCTCTTATAAAGTTGCTAGTACAGGGCCTTCTACACATTGAAGATGTGAAATGGGCTAAACACAGAAAGATTATCAAGCCAGCATTCCATTTAGAGAAGCTAAAGGTACTCACTCGCCAACATTCATTTATATTTATGGAGATTTAATTATAGCAATTGTGTCCACTAATTTTCCAAAATGTACATATGTCGATAATTTTTGGATTTCTTTTGCCCTAAATTTTTCCTTGTTTGGTATATAGGGTATGTTACCAACATTTTACCAAAGCTGTAGCGACATGATTAACGAGTGGAAGGGGTTGGTGTCCAAAGACGGTTCATGTGAGTTCGATGTGTGGCCATGTCTTAAAAATTTGTCGGCCGATGTGATTGCTCGGGCTGCATTTGGAAGTAGCTATCAAGAGGGAAGAAAAATATTTCAGCTCCTGCAACAGCAAGATAAAAATTTTTCATTAGTCGTCCGAAGTGTTTACATTCCAGGATGGAGGTAAAATTAAGTACTCCTTTATTTAAATTAGTTGTTCGTCATGTCGGCACAAAACGATTGATCTCGTACGACTTTAACTTGGTGCAGGTTTCTACCAACCAAGCATAACAGGAGGATGAAGGAAATAAATAAAGAAATAAATGTGTTGCTCAGGGGTATTATAAATAAAAGAGAAGAGGAAATTAAGTTGGGTGAAGACAATAAAGATGACTTGTTAGGTATACTTATGGAGTCCAACTTGAAGGAAATTCGCGAACATGGGAACAAGACAGACACTGGAATGAGTATTCAAGATGTAATTGAGGAGTGTAGGTTGTTTTACTTGGCTGGTTCAGAGAGCACTTCTACACTGCTTGTTTGGGCAATGATTTTGCTGGGTCAAAACCAGAATTGGCAAGCTCGTGCAAGGGAAGAGGTCTTGCAAGCCTTTGAAAGCAACCCACCAAGCTTTAATGCCCTAAGCCAACTAAAAGTTGTAAGTATATATTTTTAGTATATTCTCCTGCTATATATATATATATATATATCGGTAATTCGAAACCTTGACCATATAAAATGTCTCAGGTGACCATGGTTTTACTTGAAGTTCTTCGATTATACCCAGCAGGCGTTGAGCTTCCACGAACCACTTGCAAGAAAACACAGCTTGGAAAATTCTTATTGCCGGCTGGAGTCCTTGTCTCCTTACACATAATGTTTGTTCACCATGACAAAGAATTGTGGGGTGAGGATGCAGATGAGTTCAAGCCAGAGAGGTTTTCAGAAGGAATTTCGAAGGCAACAAAGAACCAATTTGCATACTTCCCCTTCGGTGCCGGTCCGAGGATTTGCATTGGACAGAACTTTGCTATGCAGGAAGCAAAATTAGCCTTGGCATTGATTCTACAACACTTTACCTTTGAGCTCTCTCCATCCTATGCTCATGCTCCTACGACACAAGGAAACCTTCTTCAACCTCAATATGGTGCTCATATCATTTTACGTAAACGTTGATTAGTTCTAAATGGTATATATTGTTGACAATTATTAAGTTCAAAATTATAAGGACATCACATGGCCAGCCATATTAGCCATGTAATTCTCGTGACTTGTCTTTTGTTCATTTTTAGAATTGAAATACTGTATTGTCAAAAAATTCACAATGAGTACAATTGTAGAATTCAAAAACAAAATAAAAAAACTTGGTCAACGAAAACACAAAACACCCCCTGTGAATACCCAAAGAATTCGTCATAAAGAAATGTATTGAATTCTCAGCTCTTAATAAGGAGAAAAACTTATATGTAACAAGGATGTCACTATGGCAGTATCCCAAGCCTATTACATATTGTCGTATCGGAAAAATAAAATGCATGACACTATACAATTGACTTAGGATAGCGCCACAGTGATATCCCAATATAGATAAGTTTTATTCCTCAATCATGCAATTGACCAAAATCCCGAAGAGCCAAACAATGTAAGAACCAAACAATCAAAGTCACATCAATCCGAAAATCTTCAAAGTCAAAAGTCTCAATCTAGTACTCTCTTTTTTCTTCCGTTGGTGTCAAAATATATACGTGCCTTAATAGGAGGCCAAGAAGCAAAACAAACAGAGAGAAAGTTCTATTATACAACAACATGGACCGAATATATTTTACTTATTTGGGTCTTAGAATTATTCTTATTTACGACTTCCTTCTTGAAAGGGTATGTAGAAACCATCAGAGAATGTTACAAAGGAACCTGTAGGAACGCAGTCTCCTTAAAATCTTCCCAAGGAAAATCATATTGGACAAAACCTTAGATAGGAAAAAGAGTGTCACACATACATTGGACTACAAAAGAGTCAAAAGAACAAAAACCAAACGAAATAACACGAAGCACAACTACAAACCCAGTAAATAACATCACACCTGATATTCACTGATGCATCCATATTAGAATTATTCGGATATTAGATTTCTCCTCGTTAAATAACACATAATATTGAAAAATTATGTGAATACCACATTAAAATTTGTAATTCAATACCTGCAAATCCAGAAAGCAGATTAATGAGGAAGAATGGTTGGTCTCATACCCAATCATTCTTTTACGTGTTCTTAACTTCACGGACTTGTCCTATTCATAAATTTTCTCATTCTAAATAAGTAAATACATGATTAAAGTGTAGTATAAATCATCGTTGAAAGTGTGATGTATGCCATTCCCTCCAAAACCCAAGACGTCCAAAGGCGGAACACTCGAAGCAGCACAACAAAACAAACGTTGAAAAATCCATGACAATCACGTATACCCAGAACACAAAAAAAACGCAAATTTCTCAGCTGCTACCTGTTGAGTGCAGGTGAACACAGCAAAGCATGCTGTCATGCAGAGCTGTGCTGCTACATCATCATAATCCGTGATCCAAAGAGTTTGCCACGTCATCATCAATTTCATAACAACGGCCAAAACAAAAGAAACTCGAGATCTATATGTAACTGACAATTGAAGAAACAAGAAAGACGTGAAAGCTCCCCACAGAAACACAGAGCCATGGACCTCAACCTTTCATCTCTAGTAGCTGTTCTGGCAATCACATTGGCCTTCTCACTCTACCTCTATTCTCTGCTATGGAAATCAAGAAGTGTCGTACGAAAGTTACCGCCTCAAGCTGGAGGCGCATGGCCTATAATCGGCCACCTTCACTTATTATATAGATCATCAGAGCCACCCCATTTGGTGTTTGGGAAATTGGCCGATAAGTATGGACCAATTTTCACTATAAAGTTTGGAGTGGAGAGACGAGTGGTCGTGAGCAGCTCGGA